CCCCCGCCCAGGTCCCCCCATCTCTCAGTCACCTTCAGGGAAGATTCCCAGTTGCTCAGCTCCAGGAAACATTCACCGATCATCCGGTGGGCCATCGCACAGCCGAGAACATCGTTCCTCTCCTCCAGCACATGCAGCGCCTCCTCATGTTCCCGAATTGCTGCCTCAAACTGCCCTGTCGGAGATGGAGGGAGAGAGAGAGAGAGAGAGAGAGGGAGGGAGGGAGAGAGGGAGACGAAGGGGGAAGTGAGCATGAGGGAGGGAGACGAAGGGGGAAGTGAGCATGAGGGAGGGAGAGTGATGGAGAGTGAGGGAGGGAGAATGAGGGAGGGAGAATGAGGGAGGGAGAATGAGGGAGGGACAGCGAGGGAGGGTGGGAGAGAGAGGGAGAGAGACATCAACAAGACAGACGACCAAAAAATGAAGCCAGAGGGATCCAACACAATGCGATTCTGTGGACTCCGCAGGATACACAAGCCAGGGGTCCCCCTCAGACCCACTGCCTTACTACCAGGCACGCCAACAAATAGACTGGCCAAAGAACTACAACAGAAACGGAAATACTTAGTGGACAACAGAACACATTCCATCCGCTCCTCCCAAGAATTCCTCAACACCATCAAGGACACCAGGATAGAACAGGACGAGATCATGATATCCTTCGAGGTATCAGCATTATTTACATCCGTAAACATCAACCCAGCCAAAGAGACAACTGCCACCCTGCTGGACGAAAAGAAAGGCAGAAACCCCATGACACCAACAGCATCAACAAGGACGGCACCATGAAACTGCTGGATCTGTGCCTCACAGCCCGCTTCACCTTCAACAGCCGTATATTTAAACAAATCAACAGAACACCACTGAGATCCCCAATGTCAGGACTGATAGCAGAAGCAGTAATGTAAAGATCAGAATGGACAGCGCTCCCCAGTGTCCAGCCCAAACCCTGGGTCCGCTGTGTAGATGACACCTTCGTGATTATCAAACGCACAAAACTGGCAGAAACCCACTGAGACAAAAACCACATCCTCACCAGGATAAAATTCACAAAAGAAGACAACAATAACCAACTGCCCTTCCTGGACATAATGGTAGAACATTAGAACAACGGGGAACTCCAGACTAGCGAATACAGAAAGCCCACACATTCGGACCAGATGCTCAATTACTCCAGTAACCACCCCAACACCCATAAACAGAGCTGCATCAGGACATTATTTAAACGAGGCACTGCACACTGCAGCAACCTGGAATTGTGCTGAGCAGAACAGGAGCACTTACATGGAGTTTTTAAAAGGAATGGATACCCAAAAAGCACAATCCGCCATTACCTCCGCAACAGACCACAACAGGAAGACACAACATGGCCAGACACACTGATTATCCTACCGTACATCAGGGCCATATCGGAGATGACCACTACTCAGACCCCTAGGCATCAGGGTAGGTCACAAACCGACAATCACCCTGCGGCAGCTACTGACGAACATAAAGGATCCCATACCCACAACCAATAAAACTAATGTAATATACAAAATACCAGGCAAGGTCTGTGAGAAACATTACATAGGCCAAACTGGAAGAAAACTGACAATAAGTAAACACGAACACCAACCAGCCACCAAGAGATACGACCAATTCTCACCGGTCTCACTACACACGGACAAAGAAGGACACAAATTCAACTGGGACAGCACATCCATAATAGCACAGGCCAAACAGAGACACGCTGGGAATTCCTGGAGGCCTGGCATTCCAACCGGAACTCCATCAACAAACACATTAAAGTGGACCCTGTGTACAAACCACTGAAAAACAGAAACGGAAGTGATGCCAACCAGCCCAGCAAACCGAGGCATAGAAATAACAAGCGGGACAGAACACCAACTTCACTGGAGACGCACTGATGGTGTTACCGAGCAGGATGGTGAAACATCTATAACCAAACACACCGGCACGGCGAGCAAGTCTACAACCTCAAAATGGCATCAATCCTGTGATTCTCCTCAGGGACTTATTCGATCATTACAAGAAGAAGAAATGTAACTGTTGTGTTCAATGCGCAGGAACAGATTTTGTTTGATGGAGTGTTGCAAGGATTCTGAGTTTCACAATCCAGAGTACCATGCCTGTTATACTGAGCCAAATGAGAACAGCATCCAATGACTATTAACATTGGGCTCAGTGTGTTAATGTAATTACCATGTATTTTCCAGCAGGTGATTTACACCTTCGGGAACTGTGATCGACATAAAAATAACGTACAGTCAGAAGTTACATTTGATCAGAGGGTTTTGTTAAAACTGGGTTTGTAGCTGATTGATTTTACACCTATATATGTGGGAATGTAACATTCCCATATTTATTTCAGTTGTTACAACAACCCTCAGCACTGACCCTCCGACAGTGCCCACTCCCTCAGCACTGACCCTCCGACAGTGCCCACTCCCTCAGTACTGACCCTCCGACAGTGCGGCACTCCCTCAGCACTGACCTCCGACAGTGCGGCACTCCCTCAGCACTGA